CTGCTATGACGACCCAATTTACCTTCAGGGATTAATAAAGTCTATCTATCTATCTATCTATCTATCTATCTATGTTACACTTCCAATGATACGTAGGTGGAATACGTCCCAATTACGTATGACGCAACGAGGCCTTGGTGGTCACGTGATTTTCTTGTCGCGTCGGACCTCACGGAGTCGATCCATCTCGCCGCTGTGAAAGAGCGATACTCCCCGCGTCAAGGTGCTGGAGCTACCGCTGCTTATTTCGATCGGAATTGCCCGGACAGCGCACTAATATAACCATGGACAGCAGAGGCTACGGTTCCGGTAAACACACACTGGCTATATATAACTCTACATACGTATATATGTCGTTATATACCCCGACATGTGGGTGCAGATACCTATAGCAACAACGCAACCCACAGCCGGCTGTAGCTTGAAACAAAGCAGCGTCAGCTAACTGCTTAGTAATGGTACCATATCTGCTGAGGTAACGAGTAACTGATGTGTTAGATTAACACATTCATCTCGGCGTGAACATATCAGGCCCCGTTAGCTGGCTAATGTTAACAAAACGTAGCTATACGGGCTGTTTATTTGCTGATATGCTAAGGCAGCGGGCTGTGAGGCCCATTGTTTCGGTTGCAGGGTGTGTTAAGTTCAATGCTTTGCCCAAGTTAGCAGGTCAATTCAATTAAAATGGAGTCAGTGTGGGAATAAGCGACTTTTAAAGTCTAGTTAATAAAATGGCCGCCTCAACAAAATGCTTTTCAAAGCCTCGCAAACGTTGTTGTGAATGTCCTTATTTCCACTAAGTTGAGCCAGTAAAACATAAAGCTGAAGGATTCGTTCATTGAGAAGAATATAAAGAAAACGACTGGCTGCTGGAAGAGTTGAACACGGTTTTATTTAGATTCAACCTACAAGTCCAGGGGATTTTTCCTTTTTTATATTCTTTTTGACAAATTAGTACCTGGCTGAGTAACTACACAGTTATATGGTCTTACTGGTAACCACATGTCTTTGCGCTTTAAGTTTGAATATCAAGCTTCATCAATTTCAGTTCGCTCATGCCAATGTATTCTGTCCTTTTTGTAGGTTACTCCAGTTGGGGAGGAGGAGGAGGAGGAGGAGGAGGAGGATCAGGCAGCAGAGGTGAGGAAATGAGTGCACACACTCTTGCACTGCATACTGACGCACAGACACCCACACTTCATGGCTGATTGCAGGGTTTCCTCCTACACAAAGATTTTTAAACAAACCAAAGCATATTGTCCAAATCAGAACAGTAATTTTCTGCACAGCTAAACATTAATAATATTTAGTTGAACATCACAGTATCGATGCGTAGATTAACATTCCCTAAATGTAACTAATAAAATAAATTGTATCATCTGGATTGGTAATTAAATGTTCCTTCAGGCAGACCTTAATTAAATGAGTAGTGCTTTCACTATCTATTAGTATAGTAAGGGTGCTGAGTGTGGTCATATTAATACTTTTAATTCCTCACTGTATTAGGTTCTGGTGGCTTTGACCTGTATGGGGGAGGTTATAAGGACTCGATGTCTGGGCTCGGGGGCTATGGAGGAGGAGGAGGAGGAGGCCACATGAAGAGAGGTCTTTCAGGATCGTCCCTGCTCTCATCCACCGGCACACACGCAGATGCAGTCATTGCCAAGATCAATCAACGCCTGGACATGCTCACTCAGTTGGAGGGGGGTTTGAAAAGCTCCCGAGGTGACAGGTAATATTTTTCCCCCTTTCTGTTCCATACTGTCTTCATCAGTCCACTACCACACATCCATGCCAGTGCAAGTATTACATTTACCAGTAGTGTAATTCATTATTTGTACTAGCATCTCAATGTGGCATGTGGTTGGTTAAGGACATTGTCTCTGAATGTTGCCTCATGCGTATACATTATCCAACCAGTTCAATTGAACTTGTTTTTAGATTCAAGTATCTCAGCAAATATCTTGTTTTTAGATTTTGCTGTGATATAAAAAGATGCTTAGGCCTTCTAATGCTACTGGTAATTTAAATGTGAAACGGGTATTGTCCTAGTTTGGGCACAGTTCTGTTAAATAAACGAGACCATGCCAATGTGGTTGGAAACTCAGCTCTTATACTGGTCGGGTTGCTAGAGTAAATTTGGCTGTATTAGCCTGCTATGGCATTTATTTACACTTTACACTCAACCTTGGTGAAAATAGGCTCGTTCGAGATGAACTGCGTTTTGCTTGTAAAGTCGACAAGATCAGACGGTAGCTGCAGTCAAGTTGGACAGTTTCTACCGGCCTTCAAAGAGTATACAGAAAGTCATCTGTAGCCTACCTGTAGTTAGCAGACCAGGTTCAGATATATAAATTACCTTTATCATTATCAATCACAAAAGATTATGATGAATAAGAATTAGAATTCATTCATTGCACAACATGAGACACGAAACAGCCTGCAAGCTAGAGTGAAATATTAAAATCACACAGAAAATTAGGAAAATGTGGTTTTGTCAAAACTAAGAGCCAATCAGTTCTTTGATCAGCCAGCTGGGTCTTGCAGTCGGTGGAGAGCAGGTGCTTAAAAAACTGCGGACACCTTGATCTCGTGAGGTTATTGTTGGCCCGTGTGTGTGTGTGTGTACAACGTCAGAGCAAGTTGGCATCAAGTCGGACACAAATCTAACCGGCATGCATGGTGCGGCGATCGCCAGTGATAGATTCTGGACAGGTCATCTCGAACAAGCCCAGTGTGTATGCTTCAATTCTTGTTAGGGATGAAAACGGTGGGAGGTTGCATCTGAATGCCTCAGCATCTGAGGACGCTTCCATTGCTCCCCATTTGCTACGTTGTGGTTTGTCTGATTGCTGGGAAGAAAATGTTGAGTAGACATCTTGAAAATGCATGGCCACTCACTGGAGGTGCAATTGTAGACCAACCTCTCCATTTGTAACAGATTGACATCCTCGCACATAAAGCCAGTCCATCGATACCCAGCACGCCCTGAAACATTGCCTTTGTTTTGACTTTGTTTTTATTTGTTCCCACACTTTGTTTCTCTCATCCTCCATGTGACCTAACCCTGTATTCTGGCTTTAGGTTATGCAAGAGAGATGAGTTTACAGGTGTTAGCTTGATATTACGTTTCAAGCCGAACTGTTAATTGAAGGTTGCCTGCTGTATCTGCAAAAAACACTCACGGACAAAAAAAGCCCAATCTATGTTTCATCCCCTTTCTTCAGTATTTACCATAATACAGTCACTTCCCAGGATATTTCGCTTCTTACACCTGTCTCAAGACATCACTGGTTCCGATGGACCACGCTTATGTCTGTTCAAGGTTTCACAGCCTGAGAAACTGCATTTTCCCTAATCTGCAGGATACTGTTTGACCTCCAACAGAGAATGTGGTTGGATGAGCTTCTGTAAACTTTATAAGAGAAAAATCATTACTGTATTATAAAAGACCACAAGCGAAGTGTTAACTTGTTTTGGATCATCAATTTCTGATCTAATGTGGTTTCTGAAATAAAGCTGGGAGTGACAAGAAAACAAATGGAGAAAGCGAG